TCTCTGTAGATGTTCACTGAAATGAAAAATAAACAACCTAAATTTAAAAAAATTTAAAAAAGAAATGTATTATCTAAAAGGAAAAAAAATGAATATCATTACAATAGATTTAGCTCTCTCAAAGTTATTGTGAATAGTCAATGGGTGATGTGTATGAAAGTATTAAGAAATTACCAGTTGCTATATAAATGAACTTTTAAGAAATCTATTTTATTATCACAGTGGATAGAAAGACTCATGAAATTACTTTTTTGAGAAATAATATGTAACACAAAATAATATCTCATTGTTGCATAATATTTGACCTAGGTTCTGAGTGTGGTCAATTACCCTCTATTATAAATGTCAATAATACATCTCACTTACTTCGTTTATAGATCTCCTAACACTTAAAATAGTTTTAATCATATCTCCTTATTGAAATATATGCTTAGAGGAGGAAGGGCTGGCTTTGTCTCTCTTGGTCAATACTTTGCCCACATCATTAACTTTGGTGACTTACATGACTAATACAGTAAACATTTGACAGCCTGACTGCTGAAATAACTGGATAAAGGCACCAGGAATGGAGGACAGGGTTCAAACAGCTCTGTCTGAGTTAGGATTTCTGATGGTACAATGATTAAGCATTGAGCAACTAACCCAAGGTTATAGCCCATCATCACTTAATCGGAGAAATATATGACAGTCTACTGTAAAGATTACAGCTTTGGAAATATTGTAAGGCCTGACAGGGGTTTGATGTAGATTTGATGGTCAAGAAGCTCTAGTGGCACCAATGATTAAACACTTAGCTTTAACCAACAAGTGGCTGTTCAACCACCCAGTTGCTCAGTGGGCAAAAAATCAGGTGATTGATTTGCTTCCATAAAGATTATAGTAGGAAAATCTATGATGATGTATTCAACTCTGTCTATGATATCATCTAACAATATCACTATCTAATAGTGTGTGTGTGTGTGTGTGTGTGTGTGTGTGTGTTGGTGATGGTGTTGTTTTTGTGTACCATAAAGTCAGAACTGACCCTTAGCTGACCCTCTGATGTTAATCTCACAGGAGGAGATTTTCCATCCTTCTTCTGCCCAGCAGCTGGTGACCTCAAACCTTGTGCCATTGGAATTCCAGTGCAATTTCAGTGCAGCTTCTTGCCATTAAGCCACCACCAGAGCTTATATAGAGATAGAGATATTTATGTGTGTGTATTTATATAGATATAGATAGAGATGATAGAGATAGAGATACTTATATACTGTAGAGTACAAACTGTTCTTATAGCATAGTCCATAGAAAGCTGCATCACTAAATTAAAAAAAAAATATTGTTGCCTCTCTGATGGGTTGAATATACTAGCTGCTCAGAGAGAGAAATTGGGTAGTATCCTCATTTGATTCACAGTTTCTGAAAATTCGCTGGAGGATCAACTATGAATCAGTTCTTCATTGGCAGCAATGGGTTTGAGTTTGAATATTTACAGAGGCATATCATCAGATCTTTCTCCTGAGGAGCCACTGAGTAGGTTTGAAACACCAGCAATGAAGCACTGAACCATAGCTGTCCATCTTTTGAGTGTCTGACCATGTAGATTTCATCTCCTTCAGTCATCATCATCTGTTGTCTGCCTTTCCTCTCTACCTGTGTGCATGTCTCCATGTCTACTTTGTTCCTCCTATCAATGAGAAGTTATATTTAGGAAACATCATAAACTAATATAACCTCAATAAAGACCAAAGAAAAAGTCAATCATCAAGCAGAGTTACCTCCTCCATAAATAAAGGAGTTAAGATTCCAACATGTAATTTGGGGAAACAGTTCAACCCATAAAACATGTTTTCAGCTCAGGTTAAATATCAGCCCCAAGAGTCGTCTTCCCTTAGAATACAATGTAAAGTGCCTCCCCCTTTTCATTATTTTATACAACACACTTACATAGACATAATTATATATTTCTATTTCTATTTATTTTTATAATTTTTATATATTTACATTTTATATTTTTATTTCTATTTATATATATTTACTTTGCTACTGGCTACACTATTTAACATTACACCTCATTGTTCCATCATTCACTAGCCCCTTTCTCTAATTTATTTTGTCCACAGCTCTTCTCACCCTCAGCTATAATATTTACATTTTACTTGCTTGTAAATTGTCAGTTTCTCTGTTTAGATTGTATATGTTGTGGTTTAAATAAATAAATAAAACTCACAGACATTAAGTCAAGTTAACTCATTAGTGACTCTCAATCAGGTTTCTGAGGTTGTGAATTTTTAAGGGAGAAAAACTGCCCGTCTCCTTTCTGCAGAGCAGCTGATAGATTTAAAATGCCAATTGATTAGTAGCCCAACTTATTAAGCACCATGCCACCAAGATTATGTTATAACATGACTCACTTTCACTCATTCTCATTAGCATCGAGTCAGAACCTTCTGGTAGTTGACCTTCCAGCAGGTTTTCAAAGGTTATAAACTGGATGGCAGGAAAGTGCCCATCTTTCTGCCAAGAAGTAGCTGGTGGATTCAAACCCTGTGTCTTTGGGACTACAGCACAGTTTCTTACCAAGAAGCCACTATTTCTCTATGAATGAGAAAATGAACTTTTTTTAAAAAAAGATCTGTAATGATCTTGATGTCACATAATGCTGAATTAGCAAATTTAACTTCTCAAAGTCCTTCCAGTTGATACTTCCTCCCCGCCCCATTTCTTTTTTTACCCAGAATCAAACAAATAATGTTGTATCTATATTAACCATTACCAGAATCACAAAGAGCAAAAATTAACTGTCAATGTTTTATTATACAAAATTATACAGTATAATAAATTATTATTTTGTATTAGTGGTTACAGTTATAACTAATTGAAAAATTCCTCTTTGGCCCTTGAGATTGTCAAGTGTATCCCTTCTCAGGGTATTTGTACTCTTTTATCTCTGGGTTGTTGTTTTTTGTTTTGTTTTCTTGTTTGTTTTGGTTTTGGTTTTATGTTTATTTGTTTGTCTGGGATTTGGGGGAGTGTGTGTGTGTATAAACAGCTGACTTCCTCATTTCCATGAGTCTTTTGTGAAAATGTCTCATTTCAGTGACACCTTTGTTGGCCACCCTATTGATGAAATATAAAGCCCCATATCTAGATTATTTTACTAAAAATTTCTATTAGGCAGACACAGTCTCTCATACTACTTCATCTACTTCTACTAATTCCAACACTGATCTTACTGTTCTATTACTGGAACTAAACTCCAATATAATGATGGCATAGAACTTATAGAACCATACTTACCATGATAAAATTTACTAGGAAAGTTAGGAGGTTGG